ACATACATACATACATACATACATACATACATATATACATACATACATATGGTATATATGTATGTATTGTTAAACTCAAAATATAATGATTTATCTCATATTTATGACTTTGAATCTCGTGGATTCAAAGGCAGCTAGCCGGGGTTCTAACTGGAAGGCTGGCAGGGGCTGGTTTGGTGAACTGACCGGGGAATTGGACAAAGATGGCTTTGAAGGTAAAACAGAAGGACATGGAGGAATTAAAGGACGCCATKAACATGATGGCTGGTGAGTTGGCAACATTGACAAAACAACAAGTCAATTATAATTGAACTGCTAAATGAGRTCAAGCAGCTTAAAATGCAAACTGTGGAACAAGCAAAGAAAATAGACTTTTTGGAAAACAGAGTAGCAGATTTGGAAGAATACTCTCGAATAAATGTCATGATTACAGGATTAGAAATAAGACCACAGAGCTACTCATAGGCTGTTAGAGGGAGTAGGACTGACAATAATTCAGAACATGAAGGACCAACCGAGGAGCAGGTACTTACACTCCTGCAGAGTAAAGACATTGACGTTGAAAAGAAAAACGTTGAAGCTTGTCATACTCTAGCAGTCATAAACCAAAGAGGAAAGTCTGCTACTTCACCAATAATCATTCAATTCATTAATAGAAAACATAAGATTGATCTGCTCAAACAAGGGAAAAATCTGAAAGGTACAAGTGTTTATATCACTAAAAAGAATGCAGACACTGCAAAGAAAGCTAGATCACTAAAGAAACAGTAAAATTCGGGCTACATGGACAATGAACCGCAAAGTCTTCATAAAAACAAAGGATGCACCTGAGAACACCAAAGGTCTATGGATTAGATCTTTAGAGCAACTGGACAAGTTACAAGTTGATAAGTAATGGATGTACAACAGACAACAGAGAGATGACATAAATAACACGGGTATAGGAGCCATTTGTAGCTCTGGGTGTTCTGGGTATAGTTTGGGTTCTTATTTTGCTTTTATAGTTCAGTTTGGTTTGGTGGCAGTGTTTCAAGGGTTTCAAACTCCAGTCCTCGAGGGCCGCTATCCTGCATGTTTTAGAGGTTTTCTTGCTCCAACAC